CATGTAAGAACGAAATTTCAGATATATTTATGTCTGCAATAAGGTTATACAAAGAATAGTGCTATGACCAGACAAAAGTTTTAGTATTTTACAGTTTCATGCATTAAAATTATTACCTACCACCTGTCCATCCATTGGGCAGAAATCATTGTTGGGTTAGATATTGGCTCGCGAGCGTTGGGGGTGCTGAGTGTATTTTCTAGGTCAGCAAACTCCTGATGTTTCCTTTGTCCTCTCCTGCGAGTCTCAGCTTCTTCTTCAATGTTATATCCCCCATAGTAAGAGGAACGATGGGGGGAGTAAACGAGAGAAGATGGGGTTACCTCAGCTAAAGCCTTAGTACGAAAAGAATCGAAGTCACCAAATGATCGAGATTTTCTTATGTCATAAGAATCAAGTGCAGAGGTCGTGTCATGGAAGGAGTGGGGACTGCTGCCAGTACTCACATTAAACTCTGCACGCGGAGAACGACTTCTGGCTGACGTTTCGGGTGGGACGTTCAGTCCAGTGTCCAGTCGGTCAGCTGGAAAGCGAGTCCTAGACAAAGACTCGGAGTAGCGTTTCTCTAAGTCCTCCAGGGCACCGGAGTATAATCCTGTCCCGTACTGATAATTTCGGTTGTACATCTGAGTAAGGGGTCGTCGCCAAAATCCTTTGGGTGCCATTGTTAACGCTAACTTGTACTTCAAACTTATTAGCAAGTTATACAAATTCAGACTAGCTCTAAATACAAGCTTCAGTGCCCTGTCGGAAACTAACACTACCAGCCAGCTCTGCAACTAAGCTTTCTGTTCCACTTTCTTCCCTCGATCTACACACCAACGTAACGTCACATTCCTTGAGCAAGACGCGTTTTGTATTTTATTTTTGGATGAAGCTAGCCTTGAGCTCACGGTATTTACAGATCTTGCACCAGCAGCACTTAACGTGAAAACTTGCTTTAATTTTTGGAGAACGGTGAATAAGTTTTGTTCTGGGTTGTTTCTTCAGCTTTTTCTTCGTATGATAAATGCTTATGCTGATGGGGGAGGTGACTTTAATGGCTGCGCACATTTATATTTTTATTATGTCATTCTCAAGTGAAAAAATAAAAATAAAATAAAGAGTCGTTACCAAAAATAACCTAGTAAGGGAAGACATTTCGGAAAATAAAACCGCTGATAAGCGACTCCTTAATTGTAAGCTCATACGTTACTTCACGTTGTCTGGATTTAATATAATGTTCGTTTATGTCCCCGTTCTGTAAACATACATTTTATAAAATGCGTTGTATGCTTGTTAATGTCCTCGTTTTAGAACTATTTAGTTCATCATATGAGTTTTGTGTTTGTTTATGTCCCTGTTCTAGAACTATTTAGTTCATCATATGAGTTTCATGTTTGTTTATGTCCTCGTTCTAGAACTATTTAGTTCATCATATGATTTTTTGTTTGTTTATGTCCCCGTTCTAGAACTATTTAGTTCATTATATGAGTTTTGTGTTTGTTTATGTCCTCGTTATAGAACTATTTAGTTCATTATATGAGTTTTGTGTTTGTTTATGTCCCCGTTCTAGAACTATTTAGTTCATTATATGAGTTTTGTGTTTGTTTATTTCCTCGTTATAGAACTATTTAGTTTATTATATGAAGTAGTGATTGTTATAGGTAATGCATAATTGGGTAAAATATCTCTGCTCAATAAAAAACTTTTATCTCAAATTAGGTAAACAAAACTGAGCATTATTAAGTAGTTTGCCTTAAAATATTTTAATTAAGTGTGTAATAACGAAACACACCAGAATCTTTTGTAAAAATCTGTGTAAATCAGATTATTATCCATACAAAGAAAACGTTTCAGGTAATCATTTTAAAAGGACATTTTATTCGTTACGCTCGACGGATCGTAAGAGACAGACATGTGAAATATAAACCTATTTCTAGTGTCACCAACTAACACTAGGGGCCACTGTTTTTGTGCCATGAGTTGGGCTCAGAGTATATGTGTCCTGCCATGTATTTGTATGAACAAAGCGATCTAAAAATATAACACACAATACAAATGTCTCCTATGGACATAATCCAAGAAACCTGAGTGTTCTGGGATAGACGTATTTATACAACGGAGATCCTTGGCTTTCTTCATAGGACGGTTCACTCCCTTCTACTATCTATACACGTGATTTATACATCTGGACCATATGTTAGTCATGAAGAGCACTAAGCCCAGTGGTGGGATTCAAATATTTTAACAACAGGTTCTTTCACTAGCAGCATGCCATATTGACCCGATAGGGACCAAAGATTATATGTAAAATATATTTATATTATATTATATGTAATATATACAATTTATATTACTTTTAATCTAGTCTATTTCATAAAAAGCGTTTACTGACACTTATTAGTATGTTTATTTAATTTTTTTTATTTTGCTGTGTATTTAAGTAACAATCATGATAGTAAATATAAGTTATAAAAGTTTGTACATCTGCTCCCCTTTATCGATAATATTTACTATGTAGTTTATTGGATTTTTAACCATAGTAGGTCTATTATTTGTTGTTATTATTATTATTACTGATATTACATATCACTGTTAATAGATTTCAACTATGATTTTATGAATACTTTAGTTTTCTAAGGAAAAATAAATATATTATACTTTATTTAGATGTGTTTGAATGTTTCGTTTTCATTGAATATTGTCATTTTGACAAAAAAAATAATAACAAAAATACAAAACTTTTATTGACATTCGTGATCTTTCACTTTAAAAATTTCCAGATAGCAACTTGATTGTCATCATAGTCTTTAGCTTTTTTTTGTTATCATCAGCACTATGATTTTTCCTAAGCCATGTTTTTACTGAATCTATCTCCCATTAGATTCATGCTCATTGGAGATGCAGAAAGAGGCTTTTCAAGAATGAATATAATATATTCAGATAAAAGAAACCTTCTGACAGTTGGGAATGTATCAAACTTGATGACAATTAATGCAGAACTTAGGTATAATAATAATAGATTAACGTAATTATTTAGATAAGAATCTGTAGAAAAATCGTTCACCCGCTGGCTAATAATTCAGCACAGATTTGCACTCACACGTAGGCCTAGGACG